TCCTCTTGATTTTCTGTCCAGGTAAATTGCGCATTTTTCCTGATGAGTCCTGTCAATGGGTCAGCAATTAATGAGAAATCTTTAATGAATTTTCTATAATAGGAACACATTCCTAGGAATGATTGTACTTCTTTGGCCTTCTTGGGCTGAGGAAAATCCCTAAAGGCTTTGATATTATATTCGGCCGGTTTTATACCATGTTGGTTGGTTATATGACCAAGGATCTCAAGTTCTTCAAAAGCAAATCTGCATTTCTTGTCGTTCAGTTTCAAATTAGATTCACTAAAACATTTTAAGACAGCTTCAAGTCTTTTAAGGTGGGTTGGAAAGTCGGAGCTGTATATAATAACGTCGTCCAGATAACAAAGGCAAATCTGCCATCTTAGATTTCCAAGCACATTGTCCATATTCCTCTCGAAAGTAGCAGGGGCGTTGCATAGTCCAAAGGGCATGACGTTGAATTCATATAAACCGTCGGTCGTATTGAAAGCTGTCTTCTCCTTGTCTTTCTCTTCAATTTCGACTTGCCAATATCCCGATCTAAGGTCTATTGCTGAGAAGTACTTCGATCCTTGGAGAGTATCCATTACGTCATCAATTCTTGGGATTGGATAAACATCCTTTACTGTTACCTCATTCAATTTTCTATAGTCTACACAAAATCTGAACTTACCATCTCTCTCCTTGACCAGTATTACAGGGAAAGACCAGGGACTTGAAGATGGTCTAATTATGCCTTCTTTGAGCATTTCATCAATTTGATCTTTTATAAGTCCCGTTCTTTGGGGCTCACCCTATATGGCTTGTGCTTTATCGGTTTTGCATCTTCTGTATCGATCCGGTGTTTTGCCAAATTGATCCTGCCTAACCTCGGCGAAAACAAATCAGCATACTTAACCAAAATTTGTTTCAAATCCTCTTGTTCTTTAGGTGATAGATTTTGTTTATCTGAAATTGGATTTCGTCATTATTAATTTGCTCTAACTTCTCTATGAACTTTACCTCTGCAGGAAGGCTTCCATAAGCCAATGTTTGGTCTTTCATGATTTTTAAAGGTCGAGGATAAGGGTTCGTTATCCAGATATGAGTTTTCCTATCCGTGACAGTAAGCAAACTTCTTGCCAATCGAAGGACATTTGTTTGAATCATTCTGTTGTTCTCTTCGATGACATATTCGCCATCCTCTGCTTCTATTGAGGCCTTAATTAATCTAATAGACAGTTCAGGTATAACAGTATCTTCAACGATTTTTATTTTTTTCAGTTCATAATTGCTTATGTCATGATTATTCGTCAGATTGTATTTTATTATTTCTTTTTTGCAATCTATTTTCGCGTTCATTTTCTTAAGGAAATCTCTTCCAAAAATTAATGTCCGTAAATGCGTTTTCAAAATCACAAATTTGTGCGATAATGCTTTATCATCAATTTTTATATTTAACAATATACTTCCTACTATGTCTAATTTTTTTCCATCGGGTCCTGCACAAGTTTTTGCGAGTTTACTTATACCATGGCCTGTATCGAGGGCCGTTCTGAGGTCGACCACTGAGAGGTCAGCGCCTGTATCAACCAAAGCTTCAAAAGTTCCTATCTTGTCCACATGAATTTTTAATTTGTATTTAGGGTCCAACTTTTTGATTCCATTTATGGTCGACTTGCTTTGATTGACATATTCAGGCGCGACGCTTAGTTTAAATCTTCCAACACGGAATATCTATTCTGGGTAGGAATATTTGTCTGTGTGCTATGACATACATCAGCATAAAGCCGAGGTCCTGATTTATCTGATATTTCATTCATTTGGCATTTCTCTTCGATCTTCTCTTGGGTAGCTGTTGGATCCTCTTCTAGGATTCTTATAAACTTGACCCTACAATAACGGGCCACGTGCCCTGGCTTGTTACACTTGAAGCAGATTGGTCTTCCATCTTCCGTTCTATTTTTGCTCACTTCTTGACTTTTATTGTAGGTGTTTCTCAGGAGGTTTGGTTTCGGCACAAAGTTTGGATTATAAGGACGTCTCGGGGTAAAGGGCTGGGTCAAGTTGTTTCGATACTGCCTGGGAGTAGGAGGGAAGTCGTTCTTGTAATTATTAGAAACAGGGGCTTGGGGCCTGGAAGGGGTCTGATAGTTTCGTGTGGCAGTCGGCGGCACGTACCTCGATTGTTGTTGGGGTCTAGAATAGCGTGGACCGTTATATAGGTTTCTGGATTTCTCCACACGTTCCCGATACTTCTTTTCAAAAGAATCCATTTTCTTGCACACGACAAGAAGTTCATCGGTCGTTTTAGGAGGGTTCAGGTAGAGCGCGAATGAGTACTCTTTTTTCAGTCCTCCAATAACATGATCGATTTTTGTTTCTTCTTCCATTGCGGGGTCAACCTTGTTGCACAACACTAGGATGTCTTCCGCGAACCTGATTGTTGGTTCATTCCAGTGTTGCATTCTGTTGAGCTTCATTCTTAGTTCTTCTTTATTGGCGTCCAGAGAAAAATCCTGAATGAGGCAGATTTTAATATTTTCCCAGCTCGTGAAACTCGCTTTGTGTAAATTCAACCAGGTTTTAGCGCTTCCCGTCATGTTCATGGCGGCATAACGGGCAATTATGTAGTCTGCCCAATGATAGAGGAAACCAATCTCTTCGAGGGATTCTATCCATGGGCGAGGGTCTTCTGTCCCGCCATATTTAGGAATTTCTATATTGGGGTTCAAAGCAACTGGTTCGAAACCAGCATCTCTACCAATTGTTGCACCAAGTGGCAGCTTTGCAGGGTCGTCGACCTTGGTTTCTTCCTTCTTGGTGTTATACACGTTTCCCGAACGGGTTTCCATATTCAAATCAAATGAATAAAAGTAAATAAATAAAATTAAATGAAAATAAATTACCTTTTAAAGTTATTGTGTTTATATATTCTTGTCTTGCTCCTCCGTCGCGATCCGCAGTCTTCCAATAAGCAATAAAGATATATGTACAATAAAATATTACAAAAGGAATGAAACTATAAAAAGGAATGATGATAATCTAAATATTCTGTTTTAAATAAAAACAAATAAATATATAATTTAAATTTTAAATATCTTAAAAATAATATTATAAATGATTTTTAAAATACGCGCATTAATCATGATGCAACAATATACAGGCCGCCCATATCCTCTACACGAGAGTACTGTATAACCCCCCAATATACAGTCCACCCATATCCTCTACACGAGAATACTATATAACCCCCCCAATATACAGTCAAACCATATCCCCTACACGAGAGTACTATATAACCCCCGAATATACAGTCAAACCATATCCTCTACACGAGAGTACTATATAACCCCCCAATATACAGTCCACCCATATCCTCTACACGAGAATACTATATAACCCTCCCAATATACAGTCAAACCATATCCCCTACACGAGAGTACTATATAACCCCCCAATATACAGTCCACCCATATCCTCTACACGAGAGTACTATATAACCCCCCAATCTACAGTCAAACCATATCCCCTACACGAGAGTACTGTATAACCCCCCAATCTACAGTCAAACCATATCTTCTACGCGAGAGTACTGTATAACCCCCCAATCTACAGTCAAACCATATCCCCTACACGAGAGTACTATATAACCCCCCCCCCCCCCCCCCCCCCCAATATACAGTCAAACCATAACCCCTACACGAGAGTACTGTATAACCACCCAATATACAGTCCGCCCATATCCTCTACACGAGAGTACTATATAACCCCCTAATATACAGTCCGTCCATATCCTCTACACGAGAGTACTGTATAACCCCCCAATCTACAGTCAAACCATATCCCCTACACGAGAGTACTGTATAACCCCCCAATCTACAGTCAAACCATATCTTCTACACGAGAGTACTGTATAACCCCCCAATCTACAGTCAAACCATATCCCCTACACGAGAGTACTGTATAACCCCCCAATCTACAGTCAAACCATATCCTCTACACGAGAGTACTGTATAACCCCCCAATCTACAGTCAAACCATATCCCCTACACGAGAGTACTTTATAACCCCCCAATCTACAGTCAAACCATATCCTCTACACGCGAGTACTGTATAACCCCCCAATCTACAGTCAAACCATATCCTCTACACGAGAGTACTATATAACCCCCCAATCTACAGTCAAACCATATCCTCTACACGAGAGTACTATATAACCCCCCAATCTACAGTCAAACCATATCCTCTACACGAGAGTACTGTTAAACCCCCCAATATACAGTCCGCCCATATCCTCTACAATAGATTTCTGCGAAAATCCTAACTTACATCACAAATAGAAATCCAACAAAGTCCGACATTACAGGTGGGTGACCTGCACCAAAGTACTCTCCACAGAACAATGACAGGAAATCCTTCGTTTAGCAACAGCGACCTGGAACCACAAATAAACAAACAAAGAGACTAAATTCTCCATACTCAAGTAATCCAAAGTGTCCATTGTTTACCAGAATGTAAATCCCCATGAAAGGGAAAGCCAGGAAGGAAGGGGAAATGTCGACCCACTTGCCCAAATCCACGGTCGACGACCCAACTTTCGCTGGCTTTTACTTTTATTTACACTCGCCGCCATGGCTGGAAATAACCTGGGCGAACGTTGACCTCATCATGAATAACCCAGTTTGAAGGCCAGCCTTTCTGGATCAGCCTGCACCCAGCTGGCCATCTAAATGCTTATCTCCCAATGCAACAATTTCTCTCTTCATAATTCCTTTTAATTTAAGCAAAATTCACCCTTTCTGAAGGCAATTTGAATAAAATTGGTTAAAATATACTCACACAAAACTACTAAACAATCATACTCTTTTATGACATTTGAAAATATCCCGCATGTGTTTCTTTTGAACGAAAAATCGAAATTTATTTAAATGAGAAATAACGATTATTTCTAACCTTATGGTTGAAGTATGAAAGGATGAATTGTGAATAATAATGTTGAACGGAAAAATAAAATAAAAATGACCAGGGATGGGAATCGAACCCACAGTGTTCCGCTTACCGGGCAGATGCCATGTCCACTAGGCTACCCTGGACATATTTTTCCGTTCGCAAATATGAAACAATTTTAAAAATGAAACAATATCTACTGCCCTTACTGCAATGGAAAAATTAATGTGTAAGGACCTAGTTTTTATTATTTACAGTTAGAGGGCAGTACAAATTGTTTAATTTTTAAAATAATCTTACACGTTATAATAGTTTCGAATTTTCATAACAGATGGCGCGCTAATGTATCCTAAAACTATATATATAGAATATTCAAAAACCTATCCATTAGATATAGGAAAACCTATCTTGAACATTTCCTTTAGGTTCTAAGCAAAAATGCATTTCGAAAGGCAGATTAACAAAATTTTTTACAATGAACCTAAAACACTATGTCTATTCATATTCAATCATACTCTTTAAATAGAATATTAAAAATATATAAATCTATTAGATACAGAAAAGTCCGTCTTAGTATTTTTTTCTTTTGGTTCGAAGCAAAAATACACTTTAAAGTCAAAAATTGTATAAATTCAGTTACAATGAACCCAAATACACAATATTAAATATTCATACAATATTCAAAAACTTATCCATTAGATATAGCAAAACTTATCTTGAAATTTTCATTTTGGTTCTAGGCAAAACTACACTCTAAAGGCAAAAAATTAATAATATTAGTTACAATAAATCTAAAATTACTAAACAATCTTACACTTTATATACAATATTCAATATTTTATCCATTAGTCCGGAGTACTACTCAGTGGCAGGCCGACTTATCTCTAAAAGAAATGACCGCCTCTGACATGAGGAACAGGCGTTATGTACAACCGCTCCTAAAATGGAGTACAAACACTGCTCATCCTATGTCCCTGGATTAGGAGCCCTTACAGGGTACTATCAGCATGGCCAGATGAGCCCAGGTTTTTTAGTGAGCTTGTTACTGTTCCCCCTCCTCCTTTTTCATCCGGGCTTGGGACCGCAAAGGCGTAGTTAAAACAATCTTAAAGATAAAGAACATGCCAGAGGAAAACATGCAGCAAAACTACCGAAGACCTCGCCAAAGAATTTAATTGTAGGGACCACGCCAATTAAAAACAATTTACGACGCAAATTTATTTATAGGATCCTATATAAATTCAGCCGTTTAGTCTAAAAAACGACCAATACCTTGCATTATCTGAAGGTAGAAAACAAAATTATTAAACTTTCTTAGCAAACAATGTTTTTTGATTGAAATATGTTTGTTTTTAGTCTATATATATTTTAAATTATATATTGTAACAAAGTATTTATTATTTTATTAGCAGAGTATTATTTTTTATGTTTATATTTTGATATACTCTGTACACTTCCCTCTTTTGCTTTTGTTTACCACTCATAGTTTGTTCTTGCCTGAAATAAATTGTTGTCTCATCCCGAAGTTGGTCTTCCATAATTTTCCACGTGGCAATATCAACAAATATCTTTTAAGAAACTGATAATTTATATTATGTTGATTGTACATATTGCCAGACACATCATGGCCTGTACCACGTGTACTAGGGATAAGCAAAAAAAAAACAACTTATCGAGTGTTTTTCAAGGGATCAGGAAAACATTTTAAATTATCGAGTTTCAAATTATAGTCTACTGTATATGCAGTAAATAGAATCAATAAGGGTAGATACGCATCCCTAAGAAAACACTGAGGTAAAAGGTAAAAGTTAGAACGCATCCATGTCACCTATTGCTTACGGCAAGTTTAGAACAAGGAAGTTGAGTCTGACTGGGGCAGACAATCTGCCTTGGATGAAGAAGGCAGCTGGTGAAACTATTAGAAAGTCCAGATTGGACTTTGTAGCATGGGATGGTTACGAAAGTTTGAATTGTTCTGCAAGAAAGGAGGGCGTCAGTACAAGGCAAGATTTCTTTCCCTGCCTAGCTTTCGTGGAGCTCCCCGTAGGCAAGGTCATAACTTGGATCAAAAATTAAACCATTCTATAATATTTTGCTTTCTTTAAGTTGCATAATAATTGGCGATTTGCGCAATGCTTTGATTAGGAAAGCCTTTCAGGTTTTGAGTTTCCTGTTGACATGGCGATCAAATAAAATATGAAAGGTCGAGCTGTTTGTTCCATATATAGGTCACTTGTTCATCTTTGGCAAAGTTTCTTGAAGAAGAGCTGTGTACTGATGTCTTCTTTCTACAAGTAACTTATCGAGTTTTATCCTGAAGATAGAGGCTGCCTGGCCGGCATTCATATTTCTATGAAAATAGACACTTCGGCTAGTTAGAGTTTTTTATTATCTCAACGTTTCAACAAAAATCTTTTGTTTTCTTCAGGAGAAATAAATAAAAATAAAGCATTTGACAAGGCGTTAAAAATTGTTCTGAGGTTGCAAGGGCGTTCTCACGTGATTTTTCGAATTCAGTACAACATCTAAAGTACGAGTCAAAAACAAATATTAAACTCGTCAAAGACTATGATGATCTTGAAAATAAGTAAAGTAATATATTACTTATTTATTTATTTTGATTATATTTTATTATTATATATTTATTTATTTCTCTCTCTCTCTAATTTTGTAATTAACCATATATAATCTTATATGGACATTGTAATAAATCAGTTTCAATCTCTCTCTCTCTCTCTCTCCAAGATCATAGTCTTTGACGAGTTTAATATTTGTTTTTGACTCGTGCTTTAGATGTTGTACTAAATTCTAAAATTCACGTGAGAACGCCCTTGCAACCTCAGAGCAATTTTTAACACCTTGTCAAATGCTTTATTTTTATTTATTTCTCCTGACGAAGACAAAATATTTTTGTTGAAACGTTGAGATAATAAAAAACTCTAACTAGCCGAAGTGTCTATTTTACATAGAAATATTATCAAGTTTTAATTATCAAACAAATAGAAATTTGAACTATTTTTGGAAGTAGGATTCTTTTTTAAATGAACCAATCTACTACTGCCCTTACTGCAATGATAAATGGGAGGGCCTGGTTCATCAGTGGTTAACTCTCCCTGCGATTTCGTCAATTTAATCTACCATAAGACGTGAATTTTTTCATTTGTTATATATAGATGGCGCGTTATTGCTTTGTATTATTTTGTTTATTATCACCACACAGATAGATAGATCTTCTTCTTCTTTCTTATCTCCACACTGGGTGAAGTAAAATGCGTCTTCCTTTGTCATTAAGTCTGGAATCACTACTCAGTGGCAGGCCGACTTAGCTACAAAAGAAATGGCCGCCTGTGACATGAGGAACAGACGCCATGTACAGCCATTCCTAACATGGAGTACAAACACTGCTCATTCTGTATCCCTGGAGTCCTTACAGGGTACTATCAGCATGGCCAGCTGAGCCCAGGTTTTATAGTGAGCTTGTTACTGCTCCCACTCCTCCTTTTTCATCCGGGCTTGGGACCGGCAAAAGCGGAGTCAGATAGATAGATTATAACCGTCTATAATTATCTTTTATATATTTGTACTTCTTAGTATTTGCATCAATATAAATTGATCTATGTATATGTTTGTCTAATTGAAAAGGAAATGGCTATTGGAAAACGAGTGTGAAGTCTTTGAATTGAATATTGTCATAGAATAATCTGTGATATCTTACTCTGTGAATTATCATCATTCACGAGACATCAGCGTTTTATTTGTAAATAGTTTGTTTATAGAGATGACAATTTTCCGGGAAGAATTGATTTATCTCTCTTTTAAAAATCGAAATTTATTTTCAAAGAGAAATAGCGACATTTCTAACTTTGAGGATGAGGTATGGAAAGGTGAAACATGAAGAGTAATGGAGAACGGAAAAATAAAAAGTGTCCAGGGGCGGGAATCGAACCCACACCCTTCTGCTTACCGGGCAGGTGCCTTGTCCACTCGGCTACCCTGGACGTATTTTTCCGTTCATAACTTATATTTAAAGTAACATTTAAAATACAAATTTTGTATTTTAAATGTTACTTTAAATATAAGTTATGAACGGAAAAATACGTCCAGGGTAGCCGAGTGGACAAGGCACCTGCCCGGTAAGCAGAAGGGTGTGGGTTCGATTCCCGCCCCTGGACACTTTTTATTTTTCCGTTCTCCATTACTCTTCATGTTTCACCTTTCCATACCTCATCCTCAAAGTTAGAAATGTCGCTATTTCTCTTTGAAAATAAATTTCGATTTTTAAAAGAAACATTCGCGGTATAATTTTAATTGTCGTTTTACAATCATCAGCCGCGTTATATTTGTATTTTATCTTCTTCTTTCTTATCTCCACTCAATCATATTAGGGTATCAAGCTTGTAAAGCTTGTTGATGGTGTCTGCCGGGGAAGAGTAGAGCTCATCAATGGATGAGTCATTACAGTCAATAATGTGTAGAATTTGATTTATAAAAGCATAGAGCGCCTCTCCCGTCAGAATAAACGTCAAAACTAGACGCCATCTTTTGACCGTTGCCGCAAAGATTTGGCATAGCCACTTTGCCAGCTAAACATCTCTTTGGCAGATTGTAAAGATTCCATTAGATCCTTTGTGGACCTCATGGAATAAAGTCCGCTCTATTCTGACGAGGGCCATTAGCTCGAAACCATGGTCTCTAGGTGTACGCTTCTCAGTTTGACAAAGTTGGTGTTATGGCTTTGTCACCGACCTGAGGCCGCTAGTTTGTGGCGACGGTCAATAGATGACGTCTAGTTTTGACGTCTATTTTGACGGGAGAAGAGCCCTATGCTTTTATAGTTTGTTTATATATCTCTAGATTAGGAAATCGGTAAAAATTGGTAAATAATATCCTTGTTGAAATGAATGTATTTTATGATTACTCGTCTCACTTATAATGTTGACATGAAGCTAATCTCTCAGGACAGTGCAACACCTAGTGGAGATACTGGACATGATCCAGTATCGTTAATGGAAATATATCCCATAGTTCGTGCCATAGTATCCACGCTCTACATGGCAGCTACACCTAGGATTTGACAGAGACAATAGGACCGTTATATGTCCTCCCTTAGTCTCTGGTGTGGAACCTGGGAGACATTGTCTGCCAT